CTGCCCTGGGGCGATGCCCTGAAATGTCACGTATTTCAGTCTTCCGGAAACTCAATTTAAGATCATCTTCAACAGCACTTGCCACCCTAATCCCACAGTGGGCCATGACCATTCTGTACAGCCTCTTCCTGAACAACGAGGAACCCCGCAAGAAAAGAATCCCACTACAGCTGGTCTACTGGCACCATGAGGGAGTGCCACACACAAATCCAGAGGTGACCAGCTGGGCAACCTTAGGAAGGTTCTCCATTCCACTAACAGCAACGGAATAAACACTTTTGACACTATCTAGCTGTATGACCCCGGGCGAGTTACTCAACCTCCCTAAGCAGTACTTTCCCCATCCATTAAGTGGGTCTAACTAGAGTGCACACCTCTTAGGTATGTTGAAAGGATTAAAGATAGTGTAAAGCACTTAGCACAGCGTGACACATCCCAGGCTCTCAAAAATATCAGCTGGTAGTAATAATAGCAGCAGCGCTAATACAGGGAGAGGATGTGTTCTTGGTCCAGGATCAAACTCAATGTAATGAACTCAGCTTCAATGAGCTACAGTCCAACTCAGAAGCCACCTGAAATCATCGAGTCCTCTATAGAAGAGGAACCCATGGCCTAGCAACTGCTCACTCTGTCTCTTCCACCAGACAGTAAGTTCCTTGTTTATGTCCCAGCACTTCACGTGGTGAGAAGCATATGGCAGACAGTAATAAATCTTGGTTGAACTGAGCAGAATTAGTTCAATATTTGTAAGTACATTTCATCTTTGCTTCTAGATTATAAACTCTTTAAGAGTGAGGATCATGTCTTGCTCTAGTAAAGATTAAATGAATAATGGAAAGATACCAAACCAAGAATTGTTCCTTAGACCCAGCTCAATCACTTACCAGCTGTGCAACCTCTCAAACGTCACTTAACACTTCTGTGCCTTACTTTTCCCACCTGAAGGATGTGAAGTTTGGACTACAAGTTTGCCGAGGTCCCTTACTCCCTGAAACTGGGTTTGGGTCTACTTGCAACGTGGCACCTCGGCCACCATGCAGATGACAGCCACCTGGCTCGGCAGACCAGTTTACTAATTTGCCCTCCTTATCTGCACTTTTCCAGCACCAGGTTATGAATAATTGAGCCAGTGCCTAAAACACCATTTTGAGTCAAATCGGTTCCTTTGCTAGGTAAGGATGCCCCATCACTCACACGAGACCTCTGCACTTGGGGGCACACTTTGCCCACCTATCCTGCCATTCCTTCCTAGAGACCTTGCTTCCTGCTCACACCAGGCCACACCACATACCGCTCACAAGAGATAACCTGGTATAGCAGGAGAGTTGAACTTGGCTCTTGGTAGTGAGGTGATCACATGACCCCTCTCCCCAAAATGTTGTTTGTTTTGGGTTTTGCTTTTTTTTTTTCAGCAATACTTTGTGCAGCCTGAAGGTCCAGGGAGTTTGGCTCAAAGAAAATGCATGCTGTGTTATGACAAAGGGGCTCACTCAACAGCCTTGCCCAAAACTGTAGCAAAACAAGAGCTGTACAATAAACAAAGCCTAAATTCAAGGCTGTAGAGATACGTTTGGAGCCTATTTGGCTGTCTTGGCTTCCTATAGGAACACCTCCCTAATTAACCTGAAAAGTTGATTATTTCTCCTGCCTCTCTCTGAATGATACAAGGCTGACTGTCCCATGCATCATATTCTTAAAATCTAAATGAAAATCCAAGTGAGACGTAGAAAAAAATCTAAAATTGGGAACTAAAGTTGTCTAATTTCCCCTTTTGAGGCTTTCTATATATTATTTTATTCAACTCTCACAACAAGTCTATAAAGTTGGTACTATTAGTAGCCCATCTTACAGATGAGAAAGCTGAGGTTTCAAAAAGTTACATAGCTCACGCAAAGTCACAAAAGCTAGGGGTTTTGAATGTAAGTCAGGGCTCTTAAACCTTCTGCAAGAGTGCCGTATCGTTGGGATTGTTCCTCTCTGGAAGAAGCCACTTTGAGTCTTTGTCTCGTGGACATGCTCAGGCGGTGGTCACAAGACTACATTTGGGACTGGAGAGAGGAGGATCCTCGCCTGATGAGGAAGAGGTTTAGACCAGCTGAGTCCAACTTCCTGATGCTGCAACTCTTTGCAACTGCCTTTCATGGAACACAAAATATGATGCTGTGCGGCGTTTTGTTTGATTCAGAAGGCCTTTCAGGACGCGCAATTAAAAGCCATAATATTCTCGTTTTTAAACACTTCTCTGTCTCAGGAGTGCGGCCGTCACAGCATCTCGTGTAGCCTGACATCCAGCACCCGACTTCAGCCATTCACATTGGCACAGCAGCTTAAAGATACTGCTCTCCTTGTGACGTGCTCTAAAAGGTCTGGCTACAGATGAAAATAAAACATCACTGCAGAATTCTCCTTGAAGCTCGAAAACTCAGAATTGAGACAGTGCTCTCTCAATTCTCAACAGCACTTCAAAAGCACATTGTGGCTGTTTAGTGCATCCTTGGAAGAAAACTCCCAGTTCATTCTTTAAATGAAAATTTCTTGCTGCTTTTGACAGATTGAGTCACCAAGCACTGTATGAACAAGAACAACTTGCTGACCAATTTTTTTTAATTTTTGTTTCCTTTTCTGTTCAGCCAGGCACAGGGAATTTTCCACCTGACAATTCCTGTTTCTCACTTACGTTCTTACACCATCTGTGAGCAGTGTGCTCAGCAGGGGGAGGACTCAAGGCCAAGGAGGCCTTCCCTTCACCAAAGTTCATTTTTCCCATCTATTTAATGCAAGGTTTTCACCAGATGATTTTGCTAACGTTCTAATCTTATCTATCTAGTAGAAAGCAGTTTGGGGCTTGCCAATTTGGGGGCCTGGATATGCTACCAGATTCAAAAATCGTTGCATAATTTTTGAGTAAAACAAGAGATTGAGCTGAAATTAATAGCACAATGGGAAACTGAACTAAGGCTGGACAATAACAGGACTCAAGTCTTAACAGCTGAGAAATGAGCCTCTTCCGTTCTCAGGGTGCCCCCTAGTGGCCATTCGACTAAATCCCAACGGAATGTTCAGGGTTTCTGCAAATAAAGGGAGACACCCACTGAAAGAGAAAGGCAGGCTTCGCTTACTGATGCAATTCTTTTCACTCTAACATACATACTCCGTGGATCAGACGGCAAGACGAATGCCTGACCGGAAGCCCCCGTGAAGCTCGTAAAGGTGTCTGCCATAAGACAAGGTTTCATTCTTTCAGTTTGTGGCAGCTCCCCAGCATTCAGACTTCTGTGTCCCCTCACAGATCCCAGACACGCCCTTACCACTCAACCCCTCACAAGCTCACATCCTCAACCTGCAGCTCCAGCCGCGTCTGTTTTTCATTATTCCACTTTCCAACTTCCCAGCGCGATTCTTCAACAGTTATTAAGACAACATGAGCAAGGAGCTAAGCTTAGTTTCTGCTTATTCAACATCCAGCCTGGGGAATATCACCTCAGAAGAAAAGCATGAATGAAGTGCATGTTTCTCAGCCTCTTTTTCCACAAACCTGAAAGTGCGTTCCTCCAAGGACATTTTTACAACCACCCCATCTTTAAATTTTTCAACCCACAAAAAATGGCACCTGCCCAGAGCAAATTCTCAACTACTTGCTTGCTGTATAGAATGTGTTTACTGGAGCCAGCTTAAAAATATAATGCACGTCTCTGATTTTGAATTAATGTATAACACTTTTTAAAAAGGCTATAGAATAAAGTTGTATCAACTCAAACAGTGACGCTTAGAATAAAGGAGTTATCCAGGTATCCAAATATTTAAGAATTAGGGGGAGGGCTGAACTTTTTGATTGGTGCCCCATTTTTTCCACAGGACTGTCTGCACAAATATGAAAGAAAAACACCAATGTCAACCTACCACTTCATTCAACAATTCATTTTGCTTTTTCCCTATGGTCATTTGTTAAGTTTATAAGCAACATCCCCAAAAGTGCACATAAAATGCCCCATAATTAGTTCCTGCCTTTGGCCCAAAATCTATTAAAATACATCTGATATGCTTCAAATCAAAGAACCGTGTTAATTTTCTGCCACACACCACACAAAATCTTTCTGCAATAGTCAGTCACTTTGAACCCAGCCCTCTAGCCACAAGCAGTGTGGATTTCAGGGGCCTGTTCTGCAGAAAGGAAAATGACAACGAACCAAGTTGGGGACAACCCAGAGACCCAAAGGCACTCGGGGCACTTCTTGGGGCTTTGCAAATGGTCCAGGGATCCTGGCAGGGTTTCAGCTGTCGCAAAGAGTGGGATGGCGGGGCCAGATCCCTAAAGCAATTTAGAAGCCCTGCAGCCAGGACCCGAAATTAATTGAGTCTGTTGCAATTCAGCATCTGTGTGGCTACCCATGCCCTGGGCATTTATTTCAGTCCTCCCAGAAGCCAGACGCAAACTGTCACAACACTCAGGCATGCAGCAGCCTTTACTTTTGCTCCCTAACTTTCTCTGAAAAACAGGCAGGAGTCCGACCTCCCTTACAACGAAAGCAGCATCAGGGTGATGGGGAGTAAGAGTGGGAGGATGCAGAGAGAGTGGGAAGTGGGGGGAGATCGCATTCATTTACAGGACACGGGACTTGGGGGACCAGCTCTGATCTGAAGACGTGGGTCTGTTTGGAGTTACAGCCATAAGGCATTCCAGGGCATGGTCTGAATGCATGCCCGCCAGGGAGACCCCGACGGTCCCAGCGTTGCAAAGTGTTTGCAAATCATAAACACTACTTTGCTGCTGGGATAAAAACCCCTAAAATATGCGCAGACAGGATGTAACAAGTGTTTCGGGAGAGAAACACGCCTGAGTCACGGGGAGCTAGGGGGAGAGTGAGGAGTCTGTCTGGGGGTTCTCTCGGACCAGAGAGCCTCGGCGCCCAAGACCCCCGCCCCACGCGCGCTCGGCCCCAGCAGAGTCCAGTCAAACTCGCGCCCCCCGCCCCACACCCCCGGAGTGTCCCCGCACTCACCACTCGGCCTGAAAACCTCTCGGTGGCCCTCTTGACTTTGCCATAGGTGCCTTTGCCCAGGGTCTCCTGCAGCTCATAGCGGTGCTTCAAGTTGTGCTTATGGTGATGCCGCTTCACCCCGTGCGGCTTCCTGGGCTCCGGGGCCGCCGCCGCCGCCGCCACCGCCG